TGATCAGCAAATTCATTAAGATTTGTTTTCAATTTCCTATAAAGACAGAACATAGATAAAGAAACCCGATTCTGCCGATGCCTGACGTTAATCATTTCACACACACTGAAAGGATATAGAATATCATTGATAATAAAACATATTTTATTGCAAAAAATAATTACAGTGTAGCTATTTGCGGGATAACAGAATAGCTATTTCCCTGACATCCATTCAATATACTGAAAATAAATATGGTAAATGATTATATATTTTTTTATGTAAACTAAACTAAAAATGGTCCGACTGTGAAATAGCTGAAACATTGCCCAAAGAAATGCACAAACGAAACAAAACAAAAAAAGCTTAAAAAATAAACCACAACAGAACTTTAAATCAAAATCGATATGTCTAGGGGAAAATATGAACAAAGGAAAACTTGAAGTAAACGAAAACCAAGAAAAAGTGCAAGAAGAATAAGACCAGGCGTTCCAGAAGGATATGCGTCTACTGCCCACAATGAATTTTTGAGACATTTGTACTTTCTTTTTTTCCAGTTGAATCATGGCTCTGATTAAGTTTTACATTGTATTAGTGTAACCGGATGAGATGTATTGTTTCCAGAATAAAAGGGCATACATGTAGCCGTCCATCAGCCAAATCATTGGTTCAATCGTGTTGTAGCAACTTCACATGGTGATTAATTACATAAATTGGCATATACATTATGTATATATTTGGCCTTGGTTTTTGTATTATGCCTGGGATACATTAGCTGTTCCGATGATGTGTGGTACGTTGTGGCTTGTTCCGGCTTGGCGGTTGATAACCATTTGAAGCAATATTCTGTAGCTCCATACGATTATGATGTAATTGGTTGTTTAATCTGGGCCTGTAACATGACCTTTCTGTGTGATAGATATCAAGGAATATCGACAGAGCAAGGATTGTAGGATATCGTATTTGCGAAAAATTATGCCGGATCAATTTATAACGTACACGTTCTCTGTGGTAGGTATCAGATTGTGTCAGATCTAGGTCAACAGTACAGTATTTCTGAGAGATAAGCATAGCAGTATGACACATCAAGTATGTAACTTACCATGTATATGTGAAAGCAATAAACCAGTACTACAAATGCAGATGTTCAGCTTTATTTCCGTCGTGTAACGTGCTGTAATTTCAACGTTACATGTATGTAAACATAATTGATATCGTAATCCTATCTGTATATTGGTCACTTTATAGAAAACTGAACGACACAAATATATTATCTTTTGGAACATGTGAACTGAATAGTTACTGTACCAGCCTGAGTAGCCTTCGTCGTTCAGTTAAAACCAGGACCCATATTCTTAACACGGTTCTCGTATTCAGACTAGGATGAGATGTTCGATCCACTTGTTATGTAACTCGCTGATTCTAGCGAAGGATTAGAAGAAGTGAATAAGTATCAAATTATTAGGTCCTGACAGCTTAATACTTAAGCAAACTTCCTACAAAATATTATTCATTTAAATATATTGAAAGTTACTTTGTGGCTTGAATAAGGAGCTAACATAAAGGACACGATTTGAGTCTGTCTTGTCCGGTCAGATGAAAAGATAACCTGTTTAATATCATTGCATCAAACAGAATTCATGCAAAACACTGCAAAGTTTATCGAGATTAGGAACATTCGTGCACATTTTTTTGTGTGAATCTCTTTTCGGAGAAGATAACGTTTACGACATCATATATATATATATCGGGTGTCGGAGTCGGTAACTTTATCCGCCTGGGTACCCAAGTTTTCGTGCGATATATTTTTTATCGTTTATGTGTTTACCTGTTTTTTTCTTTTCTGATTACTCAATGGTTTTAATCCATGTTTCCACATAAACTTTGTAAGCTGAGTTAGTCTGTGCTTACAAGCTGTGGCAATTCTTATATTTACAACTCGGTTGTTCTAGGGATATCATTAGTATATCAGTTAAGGTTTGTTTGTGATGATTTGAAATTATCAATACTACGGTATCCAAATGATTGGTTTGAATCTACGACTAATCAAGACATTTGGTAGCCTCAATATTTAATTTCCATCAATTTTATTTATTTTTATTGCGAAATAGTGTTACTAAAATCTTTTAGACGAAGTTAAGCGGGAACGAAATATGTCGGTATTTCATATGGATTAGGCCATATTTGTAAGAATATTAATTCCCGAAAAATAAACATGGAAAAAATGACATAAGCTTCTGCAAAGGAAAAGGCGTTATTTGCGTAAATGGGTGGGAACCTCAATTAACACATGATATTTACAGTGACTCTTTATTAACACGTTATCTTTTAATCAATTCCAATTAAACCTAATGCCCTTATTTACTAGTGTAGCAGTAACTGAGCCGCTGAAGTTTACGCGATGTAATTATATTCCATTTAACATCTGATGTCATTGTGAGTCTGTATACACACGCGGAGAAACTATTTCTCGGTTATTAGCTAACATAATGTCATGGTAACACTGTATCCAAACAGCGCTAGCCATCTTTTATACCTCAGAGCCGTTGACTTCTTTTTGAAAGATAAACATTATTTCGATGTTAAGCTATAACTCACTATAAAAAAATTGAGCTAATCTTATTTTCAAAATTATTTTATCTTCTTTTTAATTTACATTTGTGGCTATTTTTAGACACGCAATCTAGAAATATCAATTTGAATACGGACGTAGACAGATAACGACCTTTCCGGAGCTATTTATAAAATCAATCTATTGCTTTGCCTAAACGCGCACATATCAAATTGTCGATATTGAATAAAAGTAAATATAGAACATTCTGACACCAATTACAGAAAGAAAATAATATCTTCTGAGATCGTTACTTCACCATACGTCCCTGGTAGCCATCACGCTTTCTGGGTTTGATAGTAGACATTTTGACGGGAGCGACTTGCGGTGCAGGAAATTCCGCCTGTCCGGCATTACTGGGTGCACTTCCTGTTTCTGTGCTTCATGACGTCCTTCCGGTATATTTGACATCACACACTCTCTCTCATGTTGTATTAAAGTTTTACTTTTTACGCAAACAATGCACGATTTAAACGTGTCGCAACGTTCCAAGACCAGCTGGTCCCTTTGTCAAGCTATGACTGAGTGAGCGATTTGTATTATTTACCTGTGACACATTTGACGAAATTGTGTAATTTCATGTCATGACATTTCGCCTAACGATAGGGAGCATATACACACTGCATTAATATTCAATTACCATTATATAATAGACTTACATAAAACGGTGAATATTATTGAATCATAGTGAGTTTGTTTGCTTATCCGTTTGAAAGTGCGGAGGGGAATAGCTCTCCGGTAGTTAGTCGATCACGTCGAGATATCACTACGCCTATGTTAAGGTCTCATAACACGGAACTGGCCTTGGTAGTGTTATATAGTGGCAATGCAGAGCAAATGTAAATATTATTTTATCATTTTGTTTTTTCTTCGTTAGTTATATATTGACTTCCAAGTATAAATTAATTACAACATTCATTTCATTTCATTTACAGACAGCAATGTGTTGTAGTCAATATCATTGTTCCGTTTCATAGCATTGGCGACATAATGGATGAAACTATCGTGTGGAATGTGGCAAAATTACAGGACTTTGTAAACAAAGCATGTGGAAGAATTCATGCTTATTTGAAAATATTGGTACGGTTTTGTGACGTAATTACATATGTAACAATACATGTTGGTGAGGTTTTGTGACGCCATAAACCATACACATGAGAGAAAATGTTCCTATTCGTGCATGTTGTAATGCGTTTTTTTGTGACGCCATCATTTATACAAGCTGGAATAACCAAGCTCTGTCAATATTTTTTCATATGTTTTTACAATGAAACACCAAAATAATGATACAAAAATAAGGATCTCAGTTTAAAATCTTAATATGTTAATATTATAGTGGGGTCCGCGGTTTAATGTAAATTGTGTCATTTTTACCCTCCCAATTCACAAAACCAGGCAAAAATCATAGCCGATTATTAAGTTTCATTAATTTACACATGAGTTTTGGTCAATAAAAAGCGCTCAGATTTAAATAAATAAATAAAAACACGAATCGCAAAGAAAATTTGGAATCATGGAGCACGGTTTGTGTGTTGTTTTTTTTAACTTGAAATGAACAACCAATAAGGAACGCATGGCAAAATCAAAAATGCCGTGGAACTACCAAGTGATAGTGATGTCAAAACGTTCATGAAATAAATTTACCGCTCTGAGTAATAGTCTTATTCGAACGGAAAGTTCTAAAATTCCTTAGAGACAGAAAAAGTTCCTATAAATTGACCAATGTCTAAACATTGTCTTCGCTGCAATCGATATTACGTGACCAGATGCACAGTATATGTTGGCATCATACATGTATCTACATTTAAAACCCCCAAATATACAACTGTATAGATAAACACTGAATATATGGTCAAACTTATAGTCTGTGTATTACTGTACGAGATCGGTCTGGTGTGGTCTCACTGAACGGACGTGTTTGGAATATAATAATAAAGGATAAGGAAGCATTCCTTAAAAATCTAAATTCGGTTGATGCAGGCAGCCAAAACAATTCCATCATCCGAAGAAAGGTTACTGAATTTAGGTCAATTTGTCTCTTGTCATAGTTAATGTACTGGCATGTTCAATGATAAGGTTATACAGGTGTTACACAAAAATACTGATATTCCACCACTTCTGGTATTAAGACGGGTCTAGTATATCAGCAAGGATTGCATGTTTTATTGAATTATAAATCTGATTTTATTGAATTTTAAATCTGATTTTATTGAATTTTAAATCTGATTTTATTGAATTATAATTCTGAAAATATACATCTACCATTACCATAGCGTTAAATACATTCAGAAAGAAACATCTTATGGGGACAGTAAGCATTGTATTATGTATTAGGTCAAATATCACCTGCATTGCTGTAAAATAGTGCGTCTGTACAATAATTGATGATAAGAAAGTACACTATACTTACTTAACGATGAGTCCTTGACCAAGTGGTTAAACAGCGTCTTTTGTCTGGTGACCTCTTCGGGGTTCACTCCCCTCACTTTGATTTTAAAATAAAGTGCAATAAATACTAAAATTGGTATTAGATAAAAGACCGTACTAAAATCTTCTTAGGAATTCCTGCTATGTGATCGAATGTCTGCACTGTAATCGGGAGATGGCAGTGTGATCTGCAATGCTTTTCTGGCTATTCACAACAATCTACACACACAAAGTTGATAATACTGAACACACATCTCCCTTCACCTAACGTGCTGGTCTGGATTGAAAATCAGATAATCTATCTCTGCATCTAATCAGCTCCATGTTGATATATGTGCGTGTCCATTTCAGCATCCAGCTTGCTATCCACTCAGATCACTGTGCTGTGGTCCTGGGCGGAGATACCATTAGATTGACGGGTACCTGCTGTTGTCCTTTTGGTCGCTGTCCTGTAAATGTGAGTAAGCTTAACTTGCTTTACAACAATTTGTTAAAGCTTGTTAAAAAATGTCCTTCAGTATGAAACTGTTGCTGTATGGTAATAGTGTTGTACTTTAACGTCGATTATACGTATTTTTTTCGTATCAATGAAAGTTTATTGTAGACAACAGACCATGCTGGTCGTTAATAAAGATGAGTATCCCTCTCGTTTTCCCTACACATTTCAGTTTCCTTTTTTTCACACATACATATCTCATATTCATATCATTTAAAACATCCCAATCAAAACCCTAAACCCCCTAAATCACATATGAAAATGTACGCTATATTCACATTATTTGAATGTAAATGAAGAAAAAACAAAAGCATGCTATGTTGACCATGCTGGGTAGTGGACATGCTGTATTGGCGGATGTTGGCGGGTATTTACTATACCTGGTTATCAACAAACCACTTTCTCCTGATTAAGTATCACCTTCTGTACGTCATTCACAGGATAAAAGTAAGAACACACTGTCAGCTTTAATAGCCGCACTGTCACAATCATTCCTACTAACAGTTCAAAGCGAACGTTTCACAGAGAGTTCAAGAAGAAATAATTTTGGAACTTATTCCAATTACTTTTTGACTGTACATTTGTACGTTAAATTTCCACGACCGTTGTGTAGAAATAAACTATTTCATTTATCACAAATAGTTAACACTTTAAACCTTGCTTATGATTTAACTGAGAATTTAATTTTATTACAAAGGAAAAACAGAAGAATATACAAATGTAGAACAAATTATCAAGATAATACATGAAACCTTTTTCATACCACTATGTTATTTTGTTCAGCCATTATTACAGCTCCGTATTACATATTGAGTTTTTTTTAAATATTTTCTATAATAAACAGCAAACCTGCCACAAAACACTTAACAACACAGAAAGTGTACAGAAAACATCTAACATAATGTATTAGAAATGTGACACCCTGTTATCAAGTTTAATACTTTTCGATCTCATCGTTTGATATTAGATATTTGCTTATCAAACACATTACAAAACCTAATAAGATAGAACAATCACATTTTACAGTTTCATACGAAGTAGCGAGATTTATTTTTTCCACAAGGTCACATGAAAATACTGATAAGTTATCTCAGAATTAATAAATTCGGCCAAACTTTACAGTTATTTTTATTGATATTCAATACTTTTGTTTTGCAGATATTTGTCTGTTCTTTTTGATCATACGAATGGTTATATCGACATGACAAATGGGTATTGAAAGAGAACTTCTGATTTTTGTGTGTGTGAAACATCAGCTTTCTATAACTTTTATGCGCTTAGATTAATATGATGTCTTATTCATGTGCCTTTCTGGGCTCAACTCTGGCCAGGTCATCGTAACGGACACACAAGTGATGGCACCTTTTAAATTTGGCAATAGATACAGTGAGCTGCATCATACAGCTGGGGCAAAGAGTTGGAAATCTAAATCGTCCAAATTTCTGTTGAACCTTTGCGGTAGGTGCTTAACAACTCTGTATTAGGAATTTAACAATTTGGAGGAGTATGGGTTTATCTCGAATTCAATCATTTTTAAAGTGTGTATACTATATACCTTACCACTACTCAATAGAGATAGCTGCGGCTATCAAGGCTACAGCAAATATATGGTGCATCCAAAATGATATAACAACATCATATTACATTTTAATAACAGCAACAAAGGGTGGGAGCATAATAGAATCTTCCCCTGCCTTGAGGGTGTGACAGAAAAATATCCAACCCGAGGGGCGATGCTTTTTTGGCAGAGCCTCGGGTTAGACAACCAAACAAATCACGCCGCGGGTTGGTTATTTCTCTGTTCCCCCACAAGAAAGGGGATGATTACTTTTCTCCCATCCTATATTTTCAGTCACAACTCCACCGGCGATAGTCTGCCATGTTTGTTAATAAAAACACATGTGGGGTATTGATATCATCATTAACTTTTGGGTGACAAGCTTATCTTTCCCGGGTTAAACGGGAGACACAACTGTGAATGACGGGAGAAATAATTATCCTAACGCAGTCAACACAAATATATATTTGCCTTTTCTATTTAGGCATATCACATATTCCCGTTGACGTTCATAACGCGTTTACTTGCCATTACACACTGATTTAATCATCTCTTTCATTTAGTAAACAGCAAAGTGTACTCTCTGTTAAAGATGGATTATGTCGAGTAATGAGGTTACATGTACCTGATAATAATATTTTCCGGTGTGAGTTAGGGTTTCATCGATTCTTGGTCCGTTGATAGATAATTTGCATATTTTACACGATGAGTCGTTAAAACCAATTACCGATCATTTCCAGCGAGTGTACAGCTCAAAATCTAATAACGCGGCCTTACCGGAAACTGCATATGAATTCGATAGAAGTATTTTCCTATAGATAAAACATACTTTGCTGACCGTTCTTCCAATGAAAAACGTCTGCGGAATTTAATATGGATATTCCTTTTTTACTATTTTACTGTTATACTATATATGCGGTCATCCCAGTGTAATACACTCGGTAAATTACAAACAATCCTGAGATATATTCCAGAAATAATACGTTGATATGTTGCATCTAAAGCGAACATATAAAGTAAACATATATAACATTTGATAGAGTGCTCCATCTAGCTAGAATAAGTCAATCTAAAGCGCTTTACAATGTATAGATATAAAATTTATATTAGGATAGACTAGTGGTGTTACAGCTAACCATACGCCTTTTAATGACCTTAACTGTTAATAGGACGTTAAACACAACTAAACCAGAACAGCTACTCACTTGATGTATTTGGGATATATCAGTAGTGCTACAGCTACACTCTACATATATAAGGATAGATTAGTTGTGCTAGAGCTACACACCACATATATAAGGATACATTAGTTGTGCTACAGCTACACACCACATATATAAGGATACATTAGTAGTGCTACAGCTATATACCTCATATATAAGGATACATTAGTTGTGTTACAGCTACACACTACATATAAAAGGATACATTAGTTGTGCTACAGCTACATACCCCATATATAAGGATACATTAGTTGTGCTACAGCCACATACCCCATATATAAGGATACATTATTTGTGCTACAGCTACATACCCCATATATAATGATACATTAGTTGTGCTACAGCTACACATCACATATATAAGGATACATTAGTTGTGCAACAGCTACACACCACATATATAAGGATATATTAGTGTTGCTACAGCTACAAACCACATATATAAGGATAAATTAGTTGAGCTACAGCTACACACCATATATATATAAGGATATATTAGTTGTGCTACAGCTACACACCACATATATAAGGAGACATTAGTAGTGCTATAGCTACACACCACATATATAAGGATACATTAGTATTGCTACAGCTATATACCTCATATATAAGGATGCATTAGTTGTGTTACAGCTACACACTACATATCAAAGGATACATTAGTTGTGCTACAGCTACATACCTCATATATAAGGATACATTAGTTGTGCTACAGCTACATACCCCATATATAATGATACATTAGTTGTGCTACAGCTACATACACCATATATAAGGATACATTAGTTGTGCTACAGCTACACACCACATATATAAGGATATATTAGTGGTGCTACAGCTACAAACCACATATATAAGGATAAATTAGTTGTGCTACAGCTACACACCATATATATATAAGGATATATTAGTTGTGCTACAGCTACACACCACATATTTAAGAATAGATTGGTTGTGCTACAGCTACACAACACATATATAAGGATACATTAGTAGTGCTATAGCTAAAAACTACATAGATATAGGATGAATTAGTTGTGCTACAGCTACACACCACATATATAAGGATAAATTAGCAGTGCTACAGCTACACACCACATATATAAGGATACATTAGTTGTGCTACAGCTACGCACCACATATATAAGGATACATTAGCTGTGCTACAGCTACACACCACATATATAAGGATACATTAGTTGTGCTACAGCTACACACTACATATACAAGGATAAAATTAGTTGTGCTACAGCTACACCACATATATAAGGATACATTAGTTGTGCTACAGCTACACACCACATATATAAGGATACATTAGTTGTGCTACAGCTACACAATACATATAAAAGGTTACATTAGTAGTGCTTCAGCTACATACCCCTTATAGAAGGATACATTAGTTGTGCTACAGCTACACACCACATATAAAATGATACATTAGTTGTGCTACAGCTACACAACACATATATAAGGATACATTAGTTGTGCTACAGCTACACAACACATATATAAGGATACATTAGTTGTGCTACAGCTACACACTACATATAAAAGGATACATTAGTTGTGCTACAGCTACACACCACATATATAAGGATACATTAGTTGTGCTACAGCTACACACAACATATATAAGGATATATTAGTTGTGCTACAGCTACACACCACATATATAAGAATACATTAGTAGTGCTACAGCTACACAACACATATACCAGGATAAATTAGTTGTGCTTCAGCTACACAACACATATATAAGGATACATTAGTTGTGCTACAGCTGCAAAACACATATATAAGGATACATTAGTAGTGCTACAGCTACACACTACATATATAAGGATACATTCGTAGTGCTATAGCTACACACCACATATATAAGGATACATTAGTTGTGCTACAGATACACACCACATATATAAGGATAAATTAGTTGTGCTACAGCTACACACAACATATATAAGGATATATTAGTTGTGCTACAGCTACACATCACATATATAAGGATACATTAGTTGTGCTAGTTGTGCTCCAGCTACACACCACATATATAAGGATAAATTAGT